GTTATAAGTGTCTAGCATTTGTATGTGGCACCTAGTGAGGTGGAAATGAGACTATACCTCACGTAGTGGTAAATGGTGCCTCCGTACCGTTCGCAACTCATTTCCCGCTAGTAGTTCCAAAACTCATTGGTCCTAGACTACAATTCTGCACGCGGTTGCCTGCGAGTACAGCACTACACGCTAGTACGGCACTATACGCTACAAATTAATTTTTGTTTCGACCTAAGTGAAGCCTTTTCCACTGCACCTAATCGAATCAGTTCTTTCTCCCTCAATAATCTTCACCAAAGCAGCTCGAGCGAACTGTACGTACCCTGGCCGTCGACCAGTGTTTCAGACAACGGATAGACCTTACAGAGCACCAGGTGTGTTCAGAAACTGTGGTGGGTGCGTACTAGTGATGTTGCACTCCCTCTGTCGTACTACGCATGCACGCTGAGTTCCTCTCTGCATTGGTACATACCTTTGGTTGTGTGGGGTTTAATGTCTTCTGAGCAGTGGACATGATACATAGTTCCCCGATCTCATGGGGGCTATACTGTGTATCTATTCATTTCACGGTCCAGTCTATGAGGCTCAGACGAATTTAAACTTACTCTTCTCCAGGACTGACTGCACACAAACGAGTGCGAGTGGGTGCTGCAGCCTTTTCGGTTCGTTTGGTTCCTGGCAAACGCGTACAACAAGAAAAGACAAATATGCAGGTACTGTGGCGTGTTCCATCGGTGGTGAGTTATAAGCAAGTGTTTGCGGTCACCGTGTAGGTGTGAGTATAACTAGATATATAGATATCTGTTCTGACCGTTGTGAGTATCGAGATGACGGTTGTGGGTGTAGCAGCTCCATGACCTGCTGCACTGACCTGTGTGTGGGCATAATATAGATGTGCCGTGTCTAGCTCTAACGTACAACACGCCCAATGGCGACTCTCGCACAGTGCATGCTTGCAAGTGCACACTACTGAGATGTTCTGAGTCAACCCGTCGTGTTTCCTTCACGCATGTCTGGTCACTTACGCCTTAGATTGTTCTGATTGCTGCCTGTGCCAAACCTATACATATATGCTACTCACACTCTTGTTCAATCGTGCCCATAATCATGCAGCCTGCTGCTGTGACGGTACCGAGTGCACCCAAAATGGAACCGCAGATCAGTCGGCAACCCCAAGTCGGTACGAGACCAGGCATGTCCGATGAGAAGCCACGAAGTACTATACGCGATAGCAACAATAAACGACGATCGGCTGGCAGTATACTCAGCCTGTTGGACAAACGCGCGCCTGATGGGGAAATTCGAGTCTCAGGTGTGTGTGTGGTTGTCCGTTTCTGTGTGATAATGGGATAGAGATTTGGGTACATAGTTTATAGGTGTTGTTGTAAGTTTCTTCGCAGCCGTGCACCGATGGCGCTGTATGAAAGCCTCGCACATGTAAACTAAAACTGTGGCATGTTTGCATCTCACCTCATGGTGGGTTGAATTGCAGCCAGCCTCGAGTGTTCCATTACGTTGTTTTGACACTCAAGTGTCTCCGACAGAGGATAATACATTACATATCAGAGTAGCCTCTAGCCACTGGAGGTCTGCTTTCTGGGGGAATGCACACCATCCCTTCCGTTCGTTGTATTGGTCTCAAATTCGATGCCTGCACCCGTAATCCAACAGAGGGTAGATTAGACCCTGCAAGGGCCGAGAAGCAAACCTGCTTGAGTATCCCAGACGTACGGGATGTGTTCGAACAGCGCCCGTTCGTAGACACACTGCCATCATACAGCAAAAGACTGGCCATCCCTGCCATCCCTATCACTAACCATGCGCATACAGTAGCTGCGGTGGGCGAGAATGAGGCGCAAACTAAGCAGGTGAGCTGTATATGTGGGTTATTTATTGTGTAGTTTTAATATATATATATATATATGTGTTGTTTGCGCGTGTGCGTGTTGATTCTACACGTTTCAATGTGCAGCACTCGCCACCCACGTGAATAGAAAGTTTGTTCCTTGGATTTTGTATCTGGCGTGCGGTGTATTGACCACCACACGTGTTGTCAATGGACTGGGAGATTCTTCAAGGTGGTATAATTGTTATCCACACGGCTCTCCTATTTTAGGGCAGTAATTGGGTACAGCTGAATACTTGTATCAAACGACTTTGCTTCGTGATCGAGTGTGTAAAAGCCATTCTGTGCCTATCGTCCATAAAACGTTCATTTTAATTCGGCCTCAATGTTTGGCATGAATAGGGTAGTGCTCCCTTCCCAATTCACGTGCCATCAATTACCCAATGCACATTAAATTCACTAGCAAGCAAACGTATTCTCTACATTTATTGATATCGCTGCATAGCCATTTACATATACACAAATATTCATGTTTGTATTTGTATGTATGTATACACGCATGTGTATTTATGTACGTACATGTTATGCACCCATATTAACTCAGCCCAAGTCCTTAACTATATCGCTGTACTACATGCGCAGAGTCAAATGACAAACACCAATCAAACATCCAAACTTAGACGAGATTTCCAACCGCCACAGATGTCCGCTGCAAACACTAACTCACAGCACGATGACTATGCGGAAGACGACGGGAATGGTGTCACTGACCACCCGCCTGATTATACAACTCGTGAACACCGGTCTATGCGCGAGGAAGGTCGCAGCATGAGTCACAAGTTTGCGGGATTGATTGTATGTATCTGTCGACAAGTCTGTTTCTGTTGCATATCCCACTCTCCACATAATTGTAATTTGTGCAGTATCCCAAGCCTTCGCTAGTACGCGAGTTTCTCACTATCGAGAATGTGCATGTGTTGTGCTGCGTATAAAATTATTTAGCCCAGCACACTGCGCATTGCTTCGTATCTGGATTTCTGGCAAGTGTACATCGTATTATGAAGCTCTATATGTATGCAAGTGTACATCGTATTATGAAGCTCTATATGTATGCAAGTGTACATCGTATTATGAAGCTCTATATGTATGTAAGTGTACATCGTATTATGAAGCTCTATATGTATGCAAGTGTACATCGTAATATGAAGCTCTATATGTATGCAAGTGTACATCGTATTATGAAGCTCTATATGTGTACAAGTGTACATCGTATTATGAAGCTCTATATGTATGCAAGTGTATGTGCGGTTTGAGACCTGTGTCAATTCACATAGTCTTTGAGTGAATAAAAACT